AGGAATGCCTCTTCCCAGAGCACTGCTACATAGAAAATAAATCCATGTAAATATAACACACAAAAAAGACAGGTAATGATACAAAAACAGCAGCAACAACAACAACAACAAGCCTTTATCCCACTAAGTGTGGTCGACTAAATGAATCCTTTTCTCCATTGAGTCCTATTGTGTGTCATATTTTCATTTAATTCTAGTAGAGATTAATATCAATTTTTATACAATATGCCCAAGTCTTTTTAGGTTTACTTCTGTCTTTCTTAACATTAGTCGAAGTAAAAACATCTACTCTCCTAATCGGGTTATCAGACGACGGACGTTTAATGTGACCAACATATCTAAGACGACTATCTCTAATCTCGTCTGCCACTGGAAGCTACATCAACCGTATCACGAATATATTCATTTTGCAATTAGTCTTTAAGTGTCAAGCCACTCAACCACCTAAGCATTCTCATCTCAGCCACACTTAACTTTGTTTTAAACTTCTCTTTTAAAAGCCAATATTTTGTGCCATAGAGCATTTCAGGTCTAAACATCATCTTATAAAATTTTCCTTTCAGTTTAAGTTGTACTTTTCTATCACAATAGGCCCGAAGCATTTACATACATACCACACAATTCTTATATATTTACATATCTAACACTTAACCTTTCATCCTTACAAACATAATACTCAATTTTTTGAAATCACTTCAAAAAAATAAATCACTCCCACTAACATTTCAAACATGAAATATACATTTTCATGCATAATTTTTTAATAATGTAGTGTTATAAATGTAAAGATCAAACTTCAGGTGTTAGATATGTAAACGCACAAGGATTGCACGGCTAAATATAGGATGCTAAGAAAGTAATCTTTAAAGTTACTAATGCAATCTAAGATGAGATAAAAAATATAATCACAATTTACAAGCTATCAACAATTAAAATTAAGGAAAATAAATCAATTTTAATTTAAAAAACAGTAAGCATGTATCTGTCCTCCCAGATAATATAAGCAGAACAACTAAAAATAAGAAGAGTGAAGCAATGGATTGCACTAGAATCAATAAAAATGTTATCTTACCGCCATATGACTTTGAATTCAATGGGACGAATCAGCAACATACAGTAGCGAGCCGAAATTATAAATGCTTTGCTCAAATTTAAAAAGAAAAGAAAATTTAATAATAGAACTCTTATATATTATCACTTTAATGTTTTTCTCAAAGAAAGTAAAAAATTCAACTCCAACAATATAAGTGTTAGCTTTTTTTTAAATGCGGGTGTAAATGTCATGCTTCCTACAGAAAAATACATATCCATGACACACAACACTATCAAGCCAATGTATAAAATACTACTAATATCAACCATCAGTAGTAATCTTCTTTATGGACAGATGGTAGGGCAATTTGTTCATGACAAAATCAAATCAAATAAACTGAGGATATGATTACTACTAATACTACTCAATATTTCACATTTGTAAAAGTCTGTTTGGGACAACTATCTGCCTGTTTTGAGCTTCAGAACTCCACCACAGATCTCCATTTTGAGAACTGCTCTGTTTTCTAGAAATTTTTGTGACGTGAAGCTATTTTTTAAAAACTAACCTGTTAAAATGCGGTAGGTACAAGGAAGTTGATTTCAAATCTATTGGAAAAAATATACAATTATAATTCTCGCAGCAATTTTCTAATTTTATTTCTCCACAACAGCTTAAAAATCACCTTTTTTTTTAGAAGCTGCAGCCAGTTCAAACTGACTCTAAGTGTTAGTCCCAACAAGTTGCAATACCATATATATGCACACATTTATTGCAATTAATTTTTAAAAGTCCTTGATAAGAAATCTTTCTGGATTTAGACTCATTATGAACTTATCTCGTATTTAGTCTAACAGGATACATATACTTTCAAAGTTAATTATTATAATCCTGTGATTATGTTCATGCAAATCATATATATGTTGTGCAAATAATTTTGCAAATTCGCTATTCCTAATTAAACATAAAGTTCAACAATTATCCATGCGCTTTCTAAAAGCATAATAAGAGACAATTTTAAATGGACTCATGCATGTAAACATATGGAAAAATTGAAATATATGCAAGCTCAAATAATTTATAAAAATCGATTAAAGGCATATGTTCCTCCATAAAAAAACATAACATTTTGCCTGAACTACTATTAACTACATTAATTTGGTCATCAATTAACAAGTGATTAGCTGAAATCTTTAATTTAAATACCATTTTCTTTCATTAGGCTCCAAAAATAATCAATGAATTATGCATCTTAATCAAATATAATCACTGTATGATACCCATGCAATTTGACCACTTCATTATTATTATTTTTTTTCATTTAGAATGCATCGATATTTTTAAGACAAGGAAAAAAAATGAACCATTTTTTAAATTGATCAACTGGTATAAAAAATTAAAAATAGAATCATGCTCTTAACATTCACAGCACTATGGGGACAAAATTCATACTCACATCCTCTCAGGGTTTCAAAGGAATAGATAATGATATATAAAGATAAATATTATGTTTCTCTCCTTTGAGAATATCTCACTTTTTGCATTGTGGCACAAAAAAACTGCCACATCCCATTTAAAACTAGATCAACAATACTTAAACTCAATCATGGCTACATTTTCTCCAGATGAAATTCCCTAGAGCACCAGCAACTTGTAAATCTAAACAAATAAGATATCGTAAAAATAAATGTATAAGTAAAGTCAAGTTCCCAGAAAAAAAAAATCATCCTTCATCATGAAAACATTATTAAACATAGTTATGGTGCCAGTTAAATCGAGATTTATCTCAATAAAATCCTTCCAATTCTTTAATGTTATTGAAGCCCATAAGCTTAACATGAAGGGTATGTAAAATGGCAACCCCTCTACTGAAAGCTTCTGAGGGTTTATTGTTCAATTTCAATGAAATGTTTTAAAACATAATCCTTCTGGTAACTCATTAATTGACCTTGATAATTTGCACCGCTTTCAAGTGACATTTTGACAACAACCTAAGCTATGATATCAAATTCATGTAAGGCAGTTAAAGATCAATGGACAAAAGCAGCCAAGAATGAATGTTATAAAACAAACTATAAATGATAACAAACTACAACTGCTAATTTTAATTTTAAAAAATAATCATAACATTAAAGTAGTATGTGTCCCCCCACTCACCAACATTTGAAAGTTCACAACAAAAACGGTACACAAAAATAAAATATCAGCAAAACTCAAGTTCAAACGAATGTAAAGTCACATAAGTCCAACAATTTCATAAATTAAATATGAACAATAATAAAAATCATTCATAATAAGAACTAGGAATCTCATCAATTCAATGCACTAAATAAATACACACTCATATGCAATACAAACAAAATAAAGATAAACTAAAAATTTTATTCTAATACTCAATATTCCATGAATTTTTATAGATGCAATGATCCTATTTATAGGCCCCACAAGAGAATAAAAATAATAAAAATTGAAAGATCTAATCATTGATTTGCCCAACAACCCGACTAACAAATCCCTTTCATAACTTGAAATTGTTAGAGCCTAGCACATCAGAAATGCTATAGTAAGATATACAGAACGTATGTAAATAATGGTAAACACACGAACGTTGATAGTTGCACGCATAAGTGTGAACATGTAATACAAACATTAAACTTTACATATTTACAAATGCATATATGGATGCGATAGTAGATAAATTTATTATTATACAGAATGAGGGAAAGAAAAGTACCTTCTAGGTGGTGGATTAAAATTTCGAAAATTGTCATTCACCAACTGAGGCAAAACTATGGGTGCTGGAATGTTTGTTCCAACAATTTCAATTTTCATTGGTTTCCCATCCAGCTGCACATTGTTATATCTTTTCACGGCGGCTAAAGCATCTGGCCTTTTTGAAAAAACGACCTCCGCTGTTCCCTTTGTTTATAAACAAGTAAAACCAAAATATCAAATAAAGTTGCATGGGCTAGAATCTGAAACAGTAAAGAACCATGCTATAAGAGTTACCTTCGATCTTCCACTTCTATCATAGTGAATAGAGTACCGTTTCAAATCACCAACCTCTGAAAAAAGTTCCTGGACAAATAATCATGAGCATTAGAACACTAAACCAATTGATCTACAAATAATAAAATCAACCAGGTTCAATACAGCCTGTACAAGCATATAAAAATAAAAAAGGAAGATTTACACACAGACCACTCATTCTTATCTATTTACATATCTCACATATCTCACACCTAAACTTCAACTTTTACATATATGCCACCCTATCCATGCATGAAAAGGTGTATTTAAGTGTTACTTTTGATTTGATGTGAAAATTTTGAATGTATAAATGTAAAAAAGCAAAATTTCAGTTTTAGATGTGTAAATACATTGGAATTGCATGGTATGTATGTAATTACCACAATAAAAAAATGTTCCAACCAAACTACCAGATGTGTAAAGAAAAAGTAAATGTAACTGCTTCACGATATTTTACATATTTTATCATTGTATTGCAATAAAAAGAGATAAGAATCAAAGATGTAATATTTATCTTATTGAGAAGATTTGGATGTATCAGCAAATGCCACTAACTATCCTAGACACTACTGATTTATTGCCTGATTTACAAAATCCAGCAAAATATAAGTGCAAGTTCCATCGATTTATAAATATTCAAATTTAAAGTCTAAATTTTGCCTTCGAGTCATGTTAAATCCAGATTTAATAAATCCAGCAAGGGAGTGGATTTAATAAATCTGAGTCTACTAAATCCAAATAAAGCTAAATCATTCCTGCATCCAAACACCCCTAAAGAACCAACTATCAGAACGGTTTCCATTAGATTGAAATTACACATTTAACAACAAAAATGCCAATTTCGTGAATCGTTTCAGCAGAAAAATAAACAAAAATGCATGATAAGAGACCAATGTTATTAACGATATAAACTATATACATTTCAGTCTTCTTTCAAAAATGTCAAAATGATTGACTGAGCCGTAGGGTGAAAAGAGGTGCGCTTAAAAACTTAAATCCTTAAAATACGTACCGCACAAAACAACTAGTCAAACAAATAAAAAAAAAATTCTTCCTTTATGGTAGGAAGCAACTAAAAAGTTTGGCAAACGAAACAAAAAAACCTTAATCCAGTGACATAAAGATCAACCTTAATGTCCTCGTTGGATACCCCGTAATCCAGATTGGAGATGTAAAGCTTGGTTCCCGTTTCAATGGACGTCGCCCTAGCCGCCGCTGTTGGATTCTGAAACCCCGGCATCTGATCCGCAAACAAATCATGCTGCCACGCCGAATCTGGAGCCTGGATCCGATGGCGTCCACAACCATATAAGTGAAATCGATCCGTAAAAAAGGGGAGAAGAAGTGGATAGATGGAGATCCGGCGAAGTTTTACGAAACCCTAGTCATACCCTCGGGACGGAATAAGGAGCAGCCCGATTGGCTGATCGGTTGGGGATGCGGCGAGCAGGACCGGGGCCGGCTCCTCTGCCCCGGCCTCGGGGATTAGCTCCGGACGACTTGTTCTTCTTGATCAAATCATCGAGGGACATGTCCAAGGCAGTCGACATCTTTCCACAGAGAGTGAGAGAGAGCGAAGAAGAAGCCTAGGGTTCCGTCCGGGTTTCTGAATCGGAGATGGAAGGTAGACAGAGACCGAACCTCCTAGGTTTTCAGAGGAAGAACTAAAATGTCGAGAAATTGGTGCGGGACTGCTGAAATTAAGGGGTACAAATAGGCCACGGGTGGTTCATTTGCGCATAAATTTAGAAATAATACAAAATTCACATTAATACCACACAATTTTTATTTATTTATATACTTACATTTAACTATTTACATATACATTTACAACACTCAAATATTTAATATCTCATCAAAAATATTATTATTATTATTTTTTTAAATAAAAAATATATATTTACATGGATAGAATTATAACATCAAGATATTATAATATAAATAGTAAATTTTAGATATTTGATATGTGAATATATATAATTATGTGGTATGTATGTAACTTTTATTAAGAAATTTATTAGACTAAATTTTTTTATTCAAAGTTTTAGAATTACTTATACTCATGATTTGTAGTATTTTTACATATTAATCATCTAAATATAACATTTTAATAAATTTTTCAGTTACAATCACCATTTTAATTGCTTAAAATGTTAAATTTAAATTTTTTATAATTAAAATATTATATTTAAAATTTTCTCTAAAATATTATAGAATTTTTTCATACATAAAACTTGAAAATTATTATTTTTAAATCTAGCGCTCTTTCATCTATTTTTAAAATTCTAACTCAAATATTAAAGTTCATCATAAAACTCTCCAAATGTTTTTCATTTTTGTGAAATTTTCAATGATTTGGCGTAGTTGGATGTTAAATTTTACAAATAGTAATGTTTTGGGGGTTAGATATGCAATTATTCCATTTTATATATAGTATTTGTGAAGAATGTTATTAAAGACCTCTGATTTTTATCCTAATTTTACACTAAAATTGGTTACCCTAAACGGACTCACATTATTGACACCCTCAACACGCTTCAAGCGCCGATCCCCAGCATTTCTCTCCCGCTCTCGCTGATCGCCAGCGCCGCCACCGACGCCGCCGAAGAACATCTGCAGATTCATTGTCTCTGCAACTTCCGACGCCATAGTGAATTTCGCCACTCTGTGTCCTCGTCTCTGAGTGAATCAGGGTTTTCCCAATTCAGTTTATTCTCGTAATCGGTAGACAGAGATGAAAAACCTCAAGCTTTATTCATTCCCTTCCTTCGACCTCGACCTGCAATCGGAAGAAGAAACTCTTCTTCTCTCCGCTTTTGATATCGAACGCAACCGACTGTTCTTCGCCTCGTCGGCCAACATCATCTACGCATTTGAGCTTCCTTCGTCTCAAGTAAGCATTATATCTCATCAAAACTTTCGTTGTTCATCCTTCCATTCGTTAATCCAGCATAGCTGAAGACTAAACTTCATATTTTGTCATCGTTTGATGTTCTTTTTTTTTTTTCAATCAAATGTGAAATGTTTATATTTGCAATTCTGATCCATCAGGCATGGAACAAATCTCTTCTATCGCCTCAGTTCTCTTCAGTTACTCTGGACCCTGGGGACTTCATAACTGCTATGGATTACTTGATGGAGAAGGAGGCTTTGGTGCTTGGCACATCAGATGGATCCCTTATACTGCATACCATGGATGACAGCACAACTGAACTTGTTGGTAGAGTGGAGGGTGGTGTTAAACACATTGCATGCAGTCCGGATGGAGCTCTTCTGGCCATAACTTCTGGAATTGGGCAATTACTTGTTATGACTCAAGATTGGGAAGTTTTGCATGAATCTGCTCTCAACCTAAAGGTGATGATTTGAGTAAGAAATCGATCTTAAATCTTTCTGATTATACAATTTATTTTTTGTCATGGTGAACTAATGATGTAGTTTGTTGGGCTGTTTTGCGGAACCGAAGGGAATGGTGGCGCATGTGCGCCGGCCCTGGGCGCTCAAGCGCCCATTAGGCGCAATTCACAGTGGAGCCGGCGCTTATGCGACGATTTTTGGCGCATATGTGCTCACTACAAAATGGACGCTGCTCGAATTCTAGAGGGACCGACGCATAGGCGCTGGTCTATTGGCACTTAGGCGCCAACTTAGGTGCTTGTTTCCAGAGATATCGGCACCCAACTTTGGCGTGCGAAGCAAAAAGCTTGGCACATGAGCGCCAAGTCCGGGCGCCTATGCTCCAAAAGCGGTTGGCTTCGGGGAATTCTAATTTAATACCGATTTAGAGCGGCATAAAGTAGAGCTTGGTGTTTTTTTTTCTGTAGAGAGAAAACTTCTGTGAGTTCTTTATAAATATTTTTTGAATTTCATAGTGAAATTTCTGGTGATGTGAATCGATGGTTTTTTCCTGTTCTTGGGTATTTCTATGAAAATTATCGTGTGTTTTTCAGTTGCTTTGATTGTGTTTTCTACTTAGAGTTTGTTCTGATTTTTTCAAATTTGTGTGATCCCATTATTCCACGGTGTACTTTAGTTTCTAATTGATTCTAAGCTCCGTAAAGTGGGGAATTGTTCTTGTATTTCCTTATCAAATTGGTAACAGAACGGGGTTTGATTCGAGTGGGAGCAATAGCCGAAGAAGCAAGGTTCAATGTGGAGAAATTCAAAGGGACAACTTCACTTTTTGAAAGTGCAGGTGAAGGATTTGTTGTTTCAGAAAAAAACATATTTACGACTACAAGGAATCACAAGGAAGTCTGAGTCTATGTCTATGGAGGAATGAAAAGTGGTGGATCAAAGTGTATTATGTTTGATCCGGTTGTCACTTTCCTCATCTGTTACATTTAACATTTTGAATGAGCGAACTACGGTAGATATCATGGCCGCACAGACCAAGATGTACAAAAATCTTTCTGCTTTCAATAAGGTTTTTATAATGAAAAAGTTATTCAACATGATGGTAGAAAACAGTTCAGTGGCAGAGCATCTCAATAACTTAACACTGTGACGAGCTAGTTGTGTTATGTGGGGATCAAATTTAATGATGATGTCATAGCACTGGTGATATTATCTTAATTGTCAGATAGCTGGGATGTTTTGGTAATGACGGTGAGTAATTCTTCTGAGACTTCAATGTTGAACTTTAATGATATCGTGGGTTTAATGCTGAATGAAGAAGTTTGCAGAAAAGTAGCGAAAGCTGAATTTTCAGATTCTGCATTGAATGTTGATAATAGAGGAAGGAATTTGGATAGAAATATAGACAGAGGCAAATTTAAGTCCAAGAAATGAAGCCCAAATCAAGCAAAAGAGAATGCTGGAACTGCAGTAAGAAAAAACATTTTAAGAAAGACTGCAGAGCTCTAAGAAAAGCTGGTGGTGAAGGACATGAAAGTAGTTACTCTACAAATGTCTTCACTGATAAAATCCAAAATGACTCTAGTAAGTATTGAATTCTAGATAGTGGATTCTGGTGTCTTTTTTTATGTTTGCTCCAATAAAGGGGTATTTAAAAGCTGCACTCAGAGTGATCTAGGGAAAGTTTATTTAGAAGATAACAAGATCTGCAGTGTAGTAGGAAAGAGTTATATTGATATCAAGTTGCTGAATATAACGGTCTAGATGCTTATTAAAGTTAAGACATGTTCAGAAATCTTATCTTTGTGAGCTAGCTGGTAAAATCAGGACTTGTGATTGCACAGATGATTCGTGGAAGGTCACTAGGGGACATTAATGATATAGCTCGGGGCAATATTGAATGCACTCTTTATTTAATCAATGAAATGACTAATTTCATTGATGTGGCTGGAACCAGGGTGGATGCAAGTTTGTGGCATCATAGACTTGGTCATATGATCGAGAAAGATTTGAAGTTCCTACTTTCAAAAAATGAGCTTCAGGGTTTGAAATAAATTGATCTGGATTTCTATGAAGATTGTGTATATGTCAAACAGAAAAGAAATAAAAAAAACTGGAGTCAGTACATGTTAATGTATGGGGTCCTATCTAGTTCAGTCCATTGGAAATTCTCGTTATTTTTTCACGTTTATTGATGATCACTAGAGCAAGGCATGAGTTTATTTCTTAAAGCAAAAATCTAATGTATTTGAAATCTTTAAGTGGAAGGTTATGATAGAATATGAGATAGACTTGAGACTGAAGTGTCTTGGATCAAATAATGAGGGCGACTACCATGATCATAAGTTCAGGAATTTCTGTGCTACAGAGTGGTCAGACATGAGTTCCATTGTCCCAAGGACACTGCATTAGAATGGTGTGGCTGAGCGCATGAACAGAACAATCACGGAGCATGTCATAAGCATGAGGTTGCATGCTGCTTTGTCAAAATAGTTTTGGGCTGAAGTAGTAAACACTGCACTTTATTTGATTAACCATAATCAATCATTAATTTTGGAGGAAAACTTACTTGAAGAAGTTTGGAGTGACAAAAATGTATGTCTATCTCATTTAAGAGAATTTGGGTGTATTGCATATGTGCATGTTAATTCAGGGTCCAAGAGTATGCTTGACTCAAAATCTGTCAAGTTCACCTTACTGGATAAGACTCAGATAATTTTGGGTATAAGTTTGTGGATTATCATAATAAAAAATTCATCAGGAGCAGTGACGTCACTTTCAATGAAATAGAGATATACAAGGACATGGTCAGAACTCAGGACAATCCGTCAGCTACTTATGAAGAATTCAAATATGTTGAGATAGATGATATTGGTGATCTTGAAGGTGGAGAAAGAAGAAATGCTCAACCAGAAAGAGTATTGGAAGTTACTTAGTCATCTGCTACAGAAGTCAGCAGATTCAGCAGAGCGATACGACCCATCCATAGGTATTCTTCTTCTTTACACTATTTGTTACTAATTAATAGTGGTGAACCACAATGCTTTAAGGAGGTCACTCAAGCTGAAGATTCAAGAGAAGGAGAGATTGCCATGAATAAAGAAATGCAATCTTTTGAATCAAATCAAATTTGGGATTTGATGGTACTACCAAATCACAAAAAAACACTACATAATAAGTGAGTCTACAAAAAATGAGTTATATGGTAGCAAGCGCTACAAGGCAAAACTTGTTATGAAGGATTTCCAGTATAGAGAATAAACATATTACATAGAGATCTTCTCCCAGTGATGAAGATGATGACTGTCAGGTTGTGTTGAGTCTGATAGCAGAAAAAGATCCATATCTGGAGAAAAAGAAAGTAAAAATAACTCACTCACATGGAGATCTGTAGGAGGAGCTATACATGGTGAATCACATGGTTACATGATTCCAGACAAAGAAGATTTGGTCTGCAGATTGAAGAAGGATCTTTATGGCTTGAAGCAGGTCCCGAGACAGTGGTATAGAAGGTTCGAGAGATTCGTGTCAGATAATGGGTATATGAATTATCAGGCAGACTACTGTTGCTTCATCAAATAATTTGATAATTGTTATATTTTGCTTCTTTATATGTGGATGACATCATAATTGCATGGGCAGATATGGAGAAAATATTGGACTTAAATAAATATTTTTCAAATGAGTTTGAGGTAAAGGATTTAAGTCCAATCAGGAAGATCGTTGGGATGAGAATCAACAAGAACATGAGTGCAGGAGTACTGAAGTTGTCTCAGCCAAAGTATACTGAGAAGATCATACAAAGATTCAACATGAGTGAGGGGAAAAACCAGTAACCAGTTAGCATTCCCTTAGGTAGTCACATCAAACTATCTAAGGTGTTATCGCTAAACACTAAAGCTGAGCAAGCACAGATCAAGAGAACTTTGTATGCTTTAGCAGTTGGAATTTTGTTGTATTTGATGATTTGTATCATGTCAAATATTGCATATGCAATGTGAGCGGTCAGCAGGTACATGAGCATTCCAGACAGGAATCATTGAGAGGTGGTAAAGTGGATTTTCAGGTATTTGAGGGAACAGTCAACAGACCATTTTGTTTTGAAAGTACGGGGATCACTCTACAGGCATTTGTAGATTCATATATGGTTGGAGATGTGGACAGTACAAGAAGTAAAATATGATATATATTCACATTATGGAACACAGCAATGAGTTGGGTTTCCAAGTTGCAGAAGATCATTTCACTTTCAACTACAGAGGTCGAATATATTGATATCACTAAGGCTAGAAATGAGATGATTTTGCTACTAAGTTTCATGGCTGAATTGGATAATGAGTAGGGGATTGGAAAATTCTATAGTAACAGTATGGGTGCAATTCATCTTGCTAAGAAGTTATTTTTCATATCGGGATGAAACACTCTCACCTAATGTATCATTTAGTTCGCTCTATTCTTGAAGATGAGCAGTTGTTTCTGAAAAAGATGTTCACAACTCAAAATTTTGTGGATATATTGACGAAGGTAGTGAATATTGAGAAACTAAAGCTATCTTTGACTTTAGTTGGGTTTCATGGAGGCTGAGACCGGGGGTGAGCCACATCACGATACATGACTGTGAAGGCAATTTAAATGGAGGTGCAAATATAGAGCACTGGTGCTGCTCGGTGATATCTTCTCCAAGTGGGAGGCTGTTGGGTTGTTGTGTGGAGCCGAAGCGTCCCAAGCTGGGGGGGAGCCGAAGCGTCCCAAGCAGAAGGATGGCCGACACATAGGTGTCGGCCATGGGCGCTCAAGTGCCCATTAGGCGTGACTCACAATGGATCCGACGCTTATGCGGCGACTTTGGGCGCATATGCGCCCACCATAAAATTATCGCTACTCAAATTCTAGAGGGACCGACGCATAGGCACCGACCTATTGGCACTTTGGCGTCAACTTAAACGCCTGTTTCCAGATAAATCAGCACTTCGATGCCAAACTTTGGGCGCCTAGGCTCC